TAGCTTTGGAGCCTGTCCTGGAACTAGCTCTTGTAGACCAGGATGGCCTCGAACTAACAAAGATCCGCCTGTCTCTCCCTCCTGAGTGCTGGGATTAAATGTGTGCGCCACAACCCACTGGCATCCCTGGGAGTCCTTAAACCCTCTTGCCTCTGACTCCCAAGTGCTGGGGTGACAGGTGTACACTTTTACACCTGGTTTATCTGGTGCTGGGGACAGCACCCAGGGCCTATTGTGGTCTAAGAAACCCAGCCCAACCCCCAAAGTATTCATTGATTTCACCTTTGAAATGGTGGCAGGCATTTGAAAAAGGTTATCTGCTTGCAGAGGGGGAAACTGAGGCCTGGCAAAGAAAGAATTCTGCATGGCTTAAACTCAGGAGGTCAGACAAGGTTTTCTCCCAGGCAAACCACTGAGAAGACAGTGCCCCCCTCCACTCTCCCCACACCCTTCGTAGCTTGGGCAGTACTTTCCTGCTCCTTTCTCAATGAAGGACCAGTGTTGCAGGTGCAGGGAACAGCATGCACGTACAAAGCCCTTGGGGCAGACAGAGGGCACAGCCCACAGGACAGTCCTGGAGCAGGAAGAAGCCTGGTGCTGGGGAAGCGGAAAAGGCAGCCAGCGGGTAGGGGCTGGTGGGCTGCAAGGAAGACTTATTTGTTTTGTTTTGGGACAGGCTCTACACCGCTCTGGCTGTCCTGGAACTTGCTACGTAGAAGGGGTTGGCCTTGAATTAGAGCAGCACCCTCCTCCCAGTGTTGTGCTGGGAGGATTTGGTTTGCCTGAGTGAGGAGGAGGTGAGCTGCAGTGGATGAGCTGAGATGGTGTGCACAGGGTAGACCCAGCCCTGCCTGGGTGCATCTCAGAGGAGGCAGACGCCATCTCTGGGCTCATTTTCCATACTGGCTAGGTAGACATCATCACAGCGAGACTTCTCAGACTGCACAGGCACCAAGGCCAAGCATTAGCTAATGTTTATTGCCCCAGATTCTGAGCAGTGTGGGGGCTGCTGGATGACCCCTTTATCAGGCTGTTCACACATCGCTGAGGTGAGAAGATGAGGCCAGCAGCAGCCCTGGAGATGTCACCTATGAGGGCAGTGTGCACACCTGCTGAGATCCAGGAGTAAACACAGGACCCAGGCTTCATCCGGGTCCTCACATGCAGCCTCCTTCAGGTGCCAGACCCTCCAGCTCTCCTGGGAAGCCAGTGACACCCAGGACCTCTGAGGACACAGTGACAGTGACCCTGGTACCCAGGTTAGGAGAGGACGGGAGGATGCAGGAGTGAGGGATGTGGTGGGTGCTGTGGTCCCCCTGCTGTATGGGCTCATTCTGGACAGAAACCCCATTGGACTGGCTGAGGAGCATTTAGTGAGCACCTACTGTGTGCCAAACCAACAGGGACATGGGAGAGTGGTCAAACCAGCTGTGTCCCCTACAGACTGATTTCAGAAGCTGAGACAGGGGGATGATAAATTTGACACCATATGGGGTTGAAGTCGCAGGATGAATGGGGTATAGTGGGTGAGGTGGTGTGATAACTTCCATCTCAGCACTGGAGAGTTGAAGCAGGAGTTCAAGGTCATCCTCAACTACACAGCAAGTGTGAGGCCAGCCCAGACTACAGAGACTCTGTCAAAGAAGGAAGGAGGAACGGAGAGAGGGAAGGAGGGAGGGAGGAGAGGAGGGAGGGAGGAAAGGAAGGAGGGAGGGAGATACACACAAAGGTGACAATTTTGATTGTTTTAATCATTTTTTGTTTGTTATTTTATTTTATTTTTGAGATAGGATCTCATGTAGCCCAGGTTAGCTAACATTTCTCTATATATTGAAGACGTTGAACTCCTGTCTCCACCTCCCCAGAGCCTGATGACAGGCGCTGGGGTTGAAACCCAGGGCCTGCGCATGCCCTGCCCTCTCTGTGTCCACGGACTCATTCCTTTCCTGTTCGACAAGTCTCAGCGATCGCGGCCCTTGATCTTGCCCAGTTCAAGGTGGTGGAGAGTCAGCACCCTCAGAGACAGAAGCCTGAATAGCACCCCCAGACATGCACACCCCACTTTCTGTTCACACCTGTCATTTCACTGTCAGCCGTCTCCTCCCACACGCAGCCTGCGGACTGGCGACTGTGACTCCTGAAGGCTGGTGATGCGGCCAGCCGGGCAGACAGCCTCACCCCAGACCCTAGGGAGCGAACCCGCTGACCAGGCCCACAGTAGGAGACCCCAGTAAGGTTCCCCTCCTGCTCCCCACCCCTCCTTTGTAGATCATCCCTAGTGCCTGGAGACAGATGGATCCTGGTGTGTGGGTGTCACTCGCAGAGCCAGACAGGCTGAGGAGTGAGGGAGCTCTGAGAACCAGTGACTACACCCCAGTGTAGCATCCCAACGTGGGGGCACCTTAGGGGCAGTGCCGACCGAGTCCCTGCCTCACATGCTGTCCCAACCTCGTCCCCGCTCTGACTCATCTCTCAAGCCCAAGGAGAGGCTCAAGGAGAGGGGTCGCTGGATCGGGGTCACACAGCCAGAAGGGGTGCAAGGCGGTCTATCGGGATGCTGGGCAGCTGGTGGTGTGGAGTCTGGAGAGACTTGGCTCGCGACCCTGTCTCCCCGTGCAGGCCCCGCCCACCCTGGTGCCGGGAGCTCCGGGACGTGTGCAGAGCGCGCCTCCTGCCGGGCGGCTGGAATCTCTGCTGTCCTGACCCGGGACCAGGACCCAGGAGAGACCTCCCAAACCACAGAGATGTCCTGGCGTGCACCTCCGAGCTATGGCGGACCCCCCTTCTGAGCTAATCTTTTCATCTCTATGCTCCCCATTCCAAACTGAGCCCGGATCCCTTCTGAATTCCAAACTTTTCATCTCTGTACTCTGAAGCTCCGTCCCCATTCAACACTAATTCCATCCTCTCCTCAGTCACCTGAACCCACCACCCTATTTCCTGGCTCTGTGGCTCTGATCAAGGCAAGGAACTCCGAACTCCTAGGAGTGGGACCCTGCAGGGAGTGTTCTTCTGTTTCTGGCGCAAGTCGGTGAGTATCATCCATGGTGGAGCAGGTGCCTGAATGTCCTTTATACACGTGGAGCACAGCTCGTCTATCTCCCCACTTACAGACACTAAGGTTGCCTCCATCCTTTGGCTCCTGTGAATAATTGAATTAAAACTGCCATACACATACATCAGAATCTGTGTTTCCTACCTGGGTGTACCTAGGTGGGGAATGCCTAGGGGCCATGGAGATCTTCCATAAACTTAAGAAATTTCAAACTATTTTCTGAAGGCTGTCGCCATTTTACATCCCCCCCCACCCCAGAGGCGTCCTCATCCTCACGGACGATTTGTAAGATGATGGTGGTGGTGGTGGTGGTGGTGGTGGTGGTGGTTGCTAAACTGGATATGGACCTGGGGTTTCCTTCACACTTGGCAGACACTCCACCCCTGAGCCGCCAATACCCTCCGCCCTTCACTTGGGGATTCCAGGTTTAGGCTCCACCTCTGACCATGCCCCAGCGCCTTATTTGCTTCGCTTGAGCCACACCCCCAGCCAACACAGCCGGGTTTGAGCCCGACTTTGTCACACCCAGACTGTCTGTGGGTTTTCCAGACTAAGACTTGCTAAATCACGGCTCTCTGGCAACCAGGTGCCAAAAAAACTGCTTCAATGACCACTAGCTGCCCTGTTCCGTACTTGGAGGTCTGGGCTATGAAAATCTAGAGCAAGCTAAGCTGTAGTGGAGCATGCTTTTAATCCCAGCACCCGGAGGGCAGAGACAGGCGGATCTCTGTGAGTTCGAGGCCAGCCTGGTCTACAGAGCTAGTACCAGGACAGGCTCCAAAACGACAGAGAAACCATGGCTTGGAGAAAAAAGAAAGAAAGAAGGAAAGAAAGAAAGAGAAAGAAAGAAAGAAAGGAAATAGTAAAAAGAAAGAAAGGAAAGAAAATCTAGAGCAGTGGTTTCTACTGGGTACACTGAGCGTATTTGGGGTTGTCCATGGCTGTCACACAGCGGGAGCTCCTGATAGGGAGTGAGTGAAGGAGGTGAATGATGCTCGACATTCCTATAGAGCTCCCTGCATATCCCAGATGTCTACTGAAAAGTTTTTGGCCCCACACATCGGAGAGCACAGACAATTTGAAATCAGGGGGGCCACTTGGGTCAGTGCTGCTCCAGGCAAGTCGCTTGCCCTCTCTGGGCCTCAGTTTCTATCTCTCATAAAGACTGGATTTATTTTTGGGTCTTAAGGTCCGTGCCAGGGGAGGTCAGGATGCAGACAGCAAGCATCTACAAGGCTTCCTGGAGAGGGCGATGGCGCTGAGACCTTTCCAGTGCTGACTGGGCCATCAGGCACAGGAAGTGCAGACCGGGGATGCGGATTTGGGGGGAGGGTGGGAGGTGATGGGGGTGTGGGAGCCACTCCCTGGTTGAGTTCCCAGGATTTACAGCTGCGACCTCCAGGGAGGCTACCAAGAGCGAGACTATTGGAGTGTCCCCCTTACCCAGCGACACCCACCGAAGGGGGTCCTTCACAAGACTCGTGAACCCCAAGAATGTCCCAAGACAAATGTCGGGGTTCATTTATCACGGGGGTCCCAGATGACATCCTTACTCAGTGGGTAAACTGAGACCAGCCCGTGTCCATGTGTTTTTTGGTGCCTCGCGGGAGCGCGTCTCTTTGCTGTGTCCGGTCGGATCTCTGGCGGGGTGCACACGTACCCCATTTTTCTCTGCCTGAGTCTCCTTCCTCTCACCGCCCCCTCGCCCGGTTCCCGGCACGGAACCCCCTGCGCCGCCTTCGTCTCGGCGTCCGGGGCAGCTATTCCGGAGGAATCCCCCAGCCACAGGCCACGCCCCCGACACGCCCCCTCCCCTGCGACAGAGGCCTGCTCTGCTGCCACTGGCCCCTTCGTACACCGCCCGTGCGCTCCTATTCGCTGAGCCAGTGAGCGTCTGCAGGGGCGGGGCCTGTCCTGCTCAGGGGCGTGTCTATACCAGGGGGCGTGGCCCTGCGCAGCAGCCCGCTAGGATCCATCGGACCAGCGGCTCCCGCCCCACAGAGGCGCCTGCACACAAGTGACAGCCAGACGGACGGATCCTGAGGAGCAGGTGAGCGATCCGGGTCCCCGCACCTGTCCATCCTGGGTCCTTGCTGTCCTCTCTAATCCCCACACTGCCCTATGTGCATCCCGGCCTCAGTTTCCCTCTATACCTGTGCCTGGCTGTGTGAGTAGGCTGCTGTGGGCTACTGTAATGGTCCTAGTATCCCTTCTCAAGGGGACATGATGGACCTGGCCCTATACAGGTGTGCAGCCCGACTCCAAAACGGCCTGGATATTCCCGGCGGTGGCCGACCAGATTCCACTGTAGCTCTGTCTGGTACAGGGACCCCACCTGAGTCCCCCCATCATCCAGACTAGGAGCCTCCCATCGCCCTGAGCACTTGGACTCTGTTTTACCATCTGGGAACTGGAGCAATCCCCGTCATATAATTGGCAGGTGACTTGACCCAGGTCTGTGGCCTCCTGGCTCTTTCAGTGGTGGCCTGGAGGGTAAACTGAGGCCCAGAAAGTAGCCTGTGGTTTACCGGGGATGTGTAAACAGAGGGAACTCGAATGTGGCTTCTTACCTTTGTGAGTGGCCAGTCTGGAGCAGGACAGGGTGAGGGCCAAACTGACAGGCTCCTGAGACACTTCTCCAGCTCCAGGTTGCGGAGCCTCTGGAAGCCTGCCTTGGGGTCAGAACATGGCTCACCCAAACCTGACTTCCTTGAACAAGTAACTTAATTATAAGCCTCAGTTTCCCTGTCTGTGACTTGAGATGGTTGTTTCATGACTCCCTGGGGCTAAAGGCTTCTGGGAGGATTAAAGCAAAGACAAAACCCCTGGAGGCAGAACCAAGGTGGACTACATAGGGAGGCCACGTCTAAAACCAAGTGGAGACTGGGGTGTGGCCTGGTGGGTTCCAGCCCCACACCCACGTGAACCAGAGTTTGGGGTGTGTGGCTTTCGTACTAGCTCTTGGAATGGAGGCAGATGAATGTCTGTGAGTTTGAGGCCAGGCCTGAACAGGGAGTTTCAGGCTAGTCATGACTGTGAAGGGAGACCCCGTGATAACAACCAACAAAAAAAACAAAAACAAAAACAAAAACAGAAAAACAGGAATGTGGGCTTTGTGTGCCAAACTTCCTGTCTTCCCATCCTGGGACTTGAGAGTGGCTGCCCCTTCTCCACATGGACCATCCAGTCTCGGGACCTTTGCTCATACCTGCTACAGCCACAGCTGAGCAACACAGGCGCCAATTTTGAAACATAACAAGTTCATGATCTGGGCCGCACCTAGGCCGTGGGTGACTGGGAGAGGTGGGGCGGGGCCATGGGGACTATCACATGACAGAACAAAGAACATTGGCACTGAACACCTGTGCTGGGTCAGGGCTGGATCCTGAGGGGACAGGGACACGAGACACTTGTCCTCAGTTTACCCTCTGAGCACTGAGCAAGCGAGGACCCAGCCCATGAAATGATTACTGATTTAATGATTTAGTATACTGATTCAGTATGAGGGAACTCAGCCTACTTCAAGGCCAAATCGTCATGGCCACAGGGGTGCATGCCACCTGATGAGTCCGGTGCCACCCAGCACTCACTGGAGACTTGAGGGTGAACTTGGATCTAGGGATCTGGTGAATCCACTCTCCCCAGAAATCCTGCATTGTCCCATCATGTGGTTGCTTTGAGTTCCCAAGCCTCTGTTTACCCATCTGGGACCTTCCAGAGGGTGCTCTACAGGCTGGGGGCTTCCACAATCCTCACCAAAGGCACTATGGAAGGGTTGATGGGGCACATAGCTTCTGGAAGATTCTCAGACTGGGTCAGTAGGCCCCTCCAATCTTAGAGTGACCCTGTGTGAGATGAGCTCCTGGTTAGGGGCTGGATTCGTATCCCATTCCTGACTCGGTGTTGCTCTGAGACTATCTGTCAGCTCCCAGGCCCCTGCCTCAGTTTCTCCTTTTCTCATGACCATAAGAGGTTACTTAGTCACTTGACAAACAGTTCCTGAAGACTGAGGGGAAGTTAAGTATGGTACCTCGTGGCCCCAGAACACAACGGTATCAAAGCTGGTTACCAAAGTATCAGAGCAGTATCCTCTGCCTCAGAGTTGGAGCTGGACCCTGTCTGGAGTTATAATTGTAACCATAAGATGAGGAACGTGGGGGGCTGGAGAGATGGCTCAGAGGTTAAGAGCAATGCCTGCTCTTCCAAAAGTCCTGAGTTCAATTTCCAGCAACCACATGGTGGCTCACAACCATCTGTAATGGGGTCTGGTGCCCTCTTCTGGTCTGAAGGCATACACACACAGACAGAATATTGTATACATAATAAATAAATAAATATTTTTTAAAAAAGATGAGGAACGTAGGGTCAGGGGAACTGGGTGCTCATGGAGAGGAGAGGAGGGAGCAGTCACATAGCAATCTTGGGGAGAAGTATTGTAAGTGGGGGCTCAGTGTGTGCAAGGCCCTGGAGCTGGACAGAATCTTGTGTGCTGTGTGCGCACGGGAGGAGCATGGAGGAGGCCTGTGGCTGGAGCAGAGGGAGAAGGGAGGCAGGACTCTCAGGACTTGGGCTCCAACAGTGAGGGAGGTGGGAGCCTCTGGCATTTCAGGAATCCTGGCGAGGGTAAGAGGAAGCTGCATGGAAGCTGGGGAGCCTTGGGAAATGGAGGGAGCTGGTACAGTCTGGGACCGAATGCACACACCTTCATATTTCCCTCGTTAAAACCCCGAGTGGATGCTGGGTGAGGTGGAAAGTGCATGCGGGCTGAGGCGTGAGGATCACGGTAAATCTGAAGCTAGCTTGGCCTACAGAGTGAGTCTTTATCTCAAACTCTGACCCTAAAGAAGCCCTGTCCCTGTGTGGTAGCTGAAGCAGGGGTCCATGCCCCTGTGGCTCTGTGACAGTCCCTTTAAAATATATTAACTTATTCTTTTTTGTGCCTGTGATGTAGACAACTGGCTCTCCTTCACTGAGTGGGTCCTGGGCTCGAACTCAGGTTGTCTGACTTGGCAGAAAGCGCCTACCTGCTGAGCCACGTTGCTGGCCCTCGACCCCCATTTCTTCAGGACATGTCTTGCCTCCAGGCCTCCCCTACCCATTCTTGGGGTGGCATCATTGTGGGGACCCTGTTTGAGAACCCCCAGTGTCTTCCCCACCAAGGAACCTTCCTCCTCCCAGTCCTGATGCTAAGGGTGCTGTTTGTAGGCAGAGTCCCCAATGGGTGACAATGCATCCAGTGCATCGGGAAAGAGACTTTTGGGGCCCTGGGTGACATGGGGCCTCGTCCCAGCCACCCTTGGACAGTCAGCGAGGGCGGAGAAAGAGAATGGCGGGCTTGGTGACATTAATTATTGATGAGCTGCGTGTGGGACATAAAGAATTCATGAGACCGGGGGCTGCCCAGGGACGGGCGGCAGAGTCAGTCTTATGAGAGCTGCTACTGGGTTTTGGGAATTCTGCCATCTGGTTGTTAAACCCAGATTAAAAGTCAAGGAGTGAGTGCTTCCAGCTAAGTAAATCGTGTTGTATTTATTATTTACTACATTTATTTACTGCATGTGTGTAAGCCAGGGCGCACGGGTTGGAGGTCAGATGATAATTCACGGGAGTCGATTCTCTTACCACCATGTAGGTCTTAGAGATCGAACTCAGGTTGTCGGATTTGGTAGCAAGCACCCTTGTCCACCGTCGTGTTGACAGAATGCAAGCTGGATCATCTGCCAGCCGAGCTAGAGAGGCAGAGGCAGGAGGGCCAAGTTCAAGGTCAGCTTTACATAGTGAGGGGACAGCCTAGGCTAAATATAAAATAAAAATATACGTGCACTTTATGGAATGCGGATGCTATTTCTGTCCTGGAGAAGCTTCACCCCAGCCCCTGGCATCCATATACCCAAAGAATCTGGAACATTCTGGTGGAAGCTCCACCCCAAGCCCCCTTCCCCCCATCTCTCTCCAAACCCTACTACATCTCAGAAAGCCTGCCAAATGATGACCCCCTCCCTCAGAGATGCTCAAGGTCACTCACACAGGGTATTTAAACTGCCTTCCCAAAAAATAGACACGTGGTTTTCCGGTCTCTCTTTTCTGTCTCCTCCCTGGGGGGCTGGAAAATCATCCGGGAGCGTTGTATCTATATTTCGGGTTAATTTGGTCTGATTGGATTGCTGCTTCGGTGGAGAGGCTCATGGGGTGCAGAAACTTTTCAGTTTCAATGAAGCTATTAAGATTCAAAGGTTATGGTGGCGACAGTTCCTACCCATGATAAGCCCCAATAAAAACACACAGAAAAAGCAAAAACAAAAACAAAACAAAACAAAAGATTCAAAGGTTAGGTTGGATGTGATGGTGCACGCTTTTGATCCCAGCACTCAAGAGATAGGCAGGGGAATCTCTGTAAGTTTGAGGTCAGCCTGCCTGGTGTACATAGAGAGACTCTGTCGAAAAACAAAACAAGGGGTGGGGAGAGAGAGAAGCAAAAGCAGAAGCATGTGCAAGGGTGGAGAGTGGCCTGGCAAGCGGCTTGCTGTCCAAGCACGAAGACCTGAGTTCGAAACTTGGAAATCCTATAGAGAAGCTAGGACTGAGGGCGAGCAAATGTAATCTCATGATAGGGGTGGAGACAGGAGTGTCCTTGGGGCTTGGTGGCCAGGCCTGGCTGCTGGGCTGGGTGCACAGTGGAGGTCGGAGGTCGTCAGTCCCCAGCACCACACACAGTGACTAGCGTAGACACCCCATGCCCTGGCTGTGGCCTGTGCCCATGTTTGTCCTGAGTCTGTTGGAAATGGCACAGGGGCTCCCCAGCTTCACCTGTCTCCTGTGGCACGTGGACCCCACAAGGCTCCTCAGACCTTTGCAGAAGCCTGAGCTTAGTTACTGTGTTGCCGGCTGTGGCCACCATGGCGTCTGGGGACTGGGGAAGGAAATGGTGTCAGCTGTGCCCAGAAACAAGGGCCCATCCACCTGCACCCACCTCTGGGTATGTGTGTTAGGTGTGACAAGAAGTCAGAGCTGTGAGCAGATGGGGGTTGGGGAGGGGCGGGGGGCACGGTGAACAAGGCAAGTCAGGAGCCACAAGCAAGTGGGGGCGTGAAAAAGGGGTGAGGCCTGAGGATGGGGAAGTCTCAGCATTTGCAGTGACCTCAGAAAGCAATGAAGACCTTTTATTTGGGGCTTGGGGATGTCACTGTGTAGCCCAGGGTGTCCTGGAACTCACTCTGTAGCCCAGCCTGGCCTCCATAGGCATCCTCCTGTTGGAGTGGGAGGGACCACGCTCACTTGCTCTCCAAATGCCTGGCCTCAGGGCTGCCATCCTGGGGGCCAGCGGGCATTCAAGGAGGTTCTGAGGTTGGGGTGTGTGTGGCACCTGCAGGCGAATGTCACAAAGGGCGGCACAGATCATGTTTGTTTGTTCATTAAAACTCGATGTGACAGGAACTATTTTGTGAGGCCTGGTGGGCTCCATGGTGCACACTCTGGTTCCAGGGGTCATCCTGGCGAGGCTGCCAGTGTGCTTCTGTGGAGAGTGGAGTTCAGGTGCCCTCAGCTGTGGCCAGCTTGTCCTCTGAGGTTCCCTGAGGGCCAGTGAACCAGGGATCCCCATTGCGGGCTGAAAGCAGGGTCATCCCACCTGGGTTTTGTTTTATTTTGTCTTGTCTTGTATTTGTTTGGTTTTTTTGAGACGGTTTCTCTGGCTGTCTTGGAACTCACTCTATAGCCCAGGCTGGCCTCAAATTCATAGAGATCTGCCTTCCTCTGCCTCCAGAGTGCCAGGATTAAAGGTGTGCGTCACCACTGCCCATCTTTCCCCACTGGTTTTTCTGTCAGGACTTGAACTCAGGTCCACATGTTTACAGCAAGACTTGACCCGCTCAGCAGTCTCTGAGGACATTTGATCGGGTGTAGCAATGTCCCAAGGCTACCAAGATACCTGGGAAGTGATGTGGGTTGGTGCTCTATGCCAACCTTGGGCTCCCCGGACTGTGCTTGTGTGGGCCAAGGGGTTAAATGAGGAGGGGGGACACATGTGGGTCACCCCAGTTTGAACATAGTCACTGGGGTCTGCCTGTCTTTCCACACCTCTCTCTCCAGAGTTCTCCACAGCCCACTTAGCATTCAGGAATAGATTAATCATTGCAAAAACATTTACTGAGCATGAGCTATATGTCCCGTGCTCCCTGCCAAGACCTGCCTCCCATCCCTCCAGCCTCTCCCCTCCCTCCTCCTGCACCCACAGATCAGAGCTGTGCCACCCCCAGCACCATGGACACCAGGCATGGCAGCACACGCCTGTCATCCCAGCGCTCAGGAGGTGGTTGGAGGCAGGATTAGGTCAGCCTGATTCAAAAAACAAAACCCAAAGACAAGCAACCAAAAAACTGGGGGAAAAGAAATAGCAGGAAGTGGGTCAAGGAAGTGCTCCTGAGTCTGGACCTTTATGCTCAGGAAGGCCCCCGGCTTCCAGAAGTCACCGCAGCCGCGCAGAGGCCCTGTGGCTTGGCCTCATTACAGGGACCAGGTTGATCTCTGAGTTCAGAGCCAGCCACTAGGCTGCATCTGTCCCCACCCAAAGGGAAGGTCTCAGCAGGGAGCCTGGCACTTGGAGGAATATTGGGAGCTGTTGTGGGGTGCCAGGAGCTGCAGGAACTGATGGGGTTCAGAGTATAAAACTCAAGTAGGTCTTGGCAGCAGATGAGAAGTCTAAGGTAGGCCAGACAGTGGTGGTGTCCAGCTCTAACCCCAGCACTCAGGAGGCAGAGGCAGGAGGACCCAGGTGAGCTCCAGGATAGCCTGGGCTATGCGTAGAGACCTTGTCTCAAACATCACAAAAACTTTAAAAACCCATCAAGTCTAATATGCGGTCCAGGGCCCAGGAGAGGACGTGGGGCTCTGATTTTGGACTTAGTCTGTTGTCCCGCAGGGCGAGGAGCTGTGGTGACCTGTGGTGACCTGTGGTGAACCGTGTGGCCCGGCCCTGGGTCCTTTGCACACACCTCCCTCTACTGTCCCCTCCCTCCAACTTGTCCCTCCTGTCCTGAGGCTCCAAAGGCTGCCAGACAACTGGTCTTTCTGTGGCCCTTGCTCCAAGCTTTTCCCATCCCCAGGCCCAATTTTTGCCTTTTTTCTCCCTGTTTATTGGTTTCTTGCATTTCTGTCCTCGCCCTGGTTCACAAGGCCTCTTCAGGATGATTTTGGGGTTCCAGCCAGTCACAAGTGAGACGCCTGTCATCTCACAGTGAGGAGGCTAAGGCAGGAGAATTATGACGGAGTCAAAGGTCAGGCTGTGTTACATGCCTGGAAAAAGGAAAAAAAAAGTGAAAATACATAAGAAATGAATTAAGGGATGGAGGAGTCATGACCTGTGCATTCAACTCCAGGCACAAGAGGGTCCCCAAGCCATGTATAACTAGAAGAGGGCACAGAACTGGGGTGCTGGGGAGGCAGAGGCAAGGTCTCTTTGCATCACTTCTGTGCCCTGGTGTTGGGTATACAACTGTTGCTCCATAAATACCCACCAGGCAGTTGAGTGACTGCATGAGTGTGGGGCTGAGTTCTGGAGGGTAGCCTGGGCTGTTTAACTCTAGACTTTTGACCGGGTTCTGTGGCACTGGGGGGGGGGGGGGGGCAGGGACCAAGGCCACAGCACCTCATCCCTGGGAAAGTCCCTGCCATGAAGGCCTCACATGGCCACAGTCAGGCCCCTTATGCAGGAAGACAGGGACATCCTGGTCAGTCAGGACAATGGGTTTCAGAACAGGAAGTGGAGGCCAGCAGCTGGCTGCCCCAGGTGGCGGCTCAATAGGAATTGGGATGGCCAGGATAGGCCACAGCTGTGCCCCCGCCAGTCTTGCGGAAGTCTGTCCACGCTGTCAGCTTCATTCCTGAGCCAAGGAGTTCAATTTGGCTTTGTCCATGGGGAAAGCAAGGCCCAGAGAGGGTCAGCACTCCTCTGGAATCACACAGCCCCCAAATCAAACAGAGACTCCAGACTTTGTTACTGAGAGTTCCCCTTTGTCTAGTGTCAATTAGGAAACAGCCTCTGGGCCTCCACCAGACGTGGCACGGGAAAGAGTCAGTAGCTGAGGCTGACCTTGAACTTCTGATCCTCCTGCCTCCGTCTCCAAGTGCGGGGGTGGCAGGTGTGTGTGGTGCCCTCAGACCGAGAAGGAGCAATCAGGTGTGGGGCCATAGTGGGGACTGACCGTCCTCTCCTGCTGTGTGAGTGGATTTTGATGGGACAGATTCCACCATTGTGCATTCTTCTCCGCCCGGGACACTCAGGAGGGCTGTGCTCTTTGCAGAATGACGTTGGCCCAAGTGATGAAATGGGTTCACATGGCGGGCGCCCTGTGTCAACAGCCCTGTCTGGGCCCTGGCCAGTACACTGCGGGGGTATTGAACTCTGGGGGCAGGGAAGCTGCTGAGCCATTCTTGTGCCCCTGACCGCTAAGGCCAAGGAGAGGATGGTGAGAGTGGGGGGCTGCCTGGAGTCTGGGTTCACACAAAAGCCGGCTTTGTAGGGAAATCAGGGGTGAGTGGGCTGGAGGGTGGGCACTGCTGGCCTGGCCATGAAGCATGGCTCACCAGGGCCTGGGGCAAAAACCAAGGTCCAAGGGCCTGGTCTCAATACAGCCTGTGTCCCTTGGCTCTTCCGGAGGGCCAGGGGTCCCCGGGAACACAGCAGAAGAGGGGTCAGGCCCTGACTTCCCTCTGTGTTTCGGGGGTGGGGGTGGGGGGTGGTCGCAGCCATCCAGCCCCGTGTGGCTCTGAGGGAGTACCCAACAGGAGCCAGGGGCTCTGGGCTCTGGGAGGTGTGTAGGAGTTTATTAGGTAAGAGGCATGAGAAGTCTCAGTTGTGTTGAGTACTTCTGTAGGGGAAAATTCTAGAACTGCTTGCCCCTGCTTGTCCCCTTGGCCTCTTGTCGGCTCAAATGTTTTCAATGTCTGGCGAGGGAACAGTCATCTGGCGAGTGGCAAGCAGGGATGGTGCCAAGCCACAAGCATTGCCTGGACCTGAACGTTGTGTCTGTCATCCCACAGGGCCCATGGACACCTTCAGCACGAAGAGCCTGGCCCTGCAGGCCCAGAAGAAAGTGCTCAGCAAGATGGCCTCTAAGGCTATGGTGGCCGTGTTCGCGGACGACACCAGCAGCGAGATCCTGGATGAACTGTACCAAGCCACCAAGGAGTTCACCCGCAGCCGGAAGGAGGCACAGAGGGTGGTAAAGAACCTAGTGAAGGTGGCCGTGAAGCTGGCCGTACTGCTGCGGGCGGGTCAACTGGACGGCGACGAGCTGGCCCAGCTACGAAGGTTCCAGGGCCGCGTGCGCAGCCTGGCCATGACGGCCCTCAGTTTCCACCAGGTGGACTTCACCTTCGACCGGCGTGTGCTGGCCGCGGGGCTGCTGGAGTGCCGGGACCTGCTGCACCAGGCCACCGGCCCTCACCTCACAGCCAAGTCCCACGGCCGCATCAACCACGTCTTCAGCCACTTTGCCAATGGCGACTTCCTGGCCGCGCTGTACGGCCCTGCGGAGCCCTATCGGAGCCACCTGCGCCGCATCTGCGACGGCCTTGGACGGATGCTCGACGAGGGCGGTATCTGACCTGGCCTGGAGACCTTTCCAGAACATCACTGCTCATCCCAGCTTTGCTCCTTTCTACTTCTGAGAAGCTGTCTTGTAGCCCAGCCCGACCCCAGACTCTACGGAGCCAAGGCTGACCTTGAACTGATGCTGCTCCTGCTGCCTCCTGAGTGCTGGGGTCACAGGTGTGCTCCACCATCTCATTGAATGTTTATGTTAGTTTCCTCTCAGGGCCTCCCAATGTGACTCGCTTTAGGAAATGGAGTTCAAGCCCTGCCCGGCACCAGTCTAGTGTTGAAGGGATCCCAGCCTGCCATGTGGGCTGGGGATGAGCACACTTTCGTGTTGGGATCTGGAGGAGACCCCCATCTGGAGACTGCACCCAGCATCTAAGAGCAGGAAGAAACCGTCCCTGAGGTGGCTCAGCATGTGTTGTGACGGGAGCTCAATCCCCAAAACCACACCATGGAAGCAGAGAACCAGTTTTGGCAAGTTGACCTGACTTACACATGACCTGCTCATGCAGCAAGGGGTGACTGAGCTGGTGGGAAAGAAGTCCTCACTGGGAGGGAGGAGCCTGGGGACCTCAGAAGCTGTCCCCAGCTTCCGCAGGCCAGGGCTACTGGAGATATGTGTCTGTGTTAAATTATAATGCCGTATTTGGGAAACAAACCCATCCTTTCTCTTTGTATGACAGCCAGGACTTGTAATCAACACTGACCACACATGTGGAAGCATGACTAATACCTGGCTTAACCTTATGGTCACTATGAGACAGAACTTTTATCCTTGGAAAGGTGGGCAGGTTTCAGCTACATTTGTGCACTGCTGAGGTGTGGGTTAGTTCTCTAGACTCCCCCAGTAAGGGGCTGTGGGCATGGCCATGGTGGAGCCCCGCCTAGAATCCTCAGTGAGGGGCTGTGGGTGAGGTCAGGGTGGAGCCCCGCCTAGAATCCTCAGTGAGGGGCTGGGGGCGCGGTCAGGGTGGAGCCCACCATAGAATCCCCCAGTGAGGGGTGGGATGTGGCCAGGGGTAGCATGCCCAAGGTGGGAGACCCGAGACCAGTGAGGACAGTGCATCTGCACTTGCTGGCAGGCATGGAGGTTGTGCAATGCTGCAGGTGTTAAGGTGATCTGGGATACACAACATCCACAGCTGTGTGTATTTAGGACAAAGTTTACAACCTATAGCCTGTGGGGCCTGGCTGAGGGGTCACAGAGGCTTTATTAATGTTTCAAACATGGCCAACACAGAGATTCTATCAACTATAGCTTGTTAATATTTGTTGTTTTTAAAACAGTATCTTATCCTATAACCCGGACTAGCCTCAGCGCCCCTAAGGCTGGCTGGACTGGCTGGGATGCCAGCCTGAGCATCACATTCCCCTGGGGCAGCCAGCCCTCCTGCCAGCTCTGGGCAGGAAGGGGTCAGGTCCTTGAAGCCTCCCTCTCTCACCACACCAGCTCCACAGGTAACTCGTCTCCCTTTAGGCCCTGGGCCAGATGAAACCCTCATGCTGACCAGATGGACCAAGGAGGGGAACGGTCTGAGATTTGCGGGTGAGATGAAGAGGAAAGCCAGAGCGCATGAGGGACATTCCTTTATTATTGTGTGTCACTGGGCTGTGTATGCTACACGGAGCCTCGGCCATCAAGCTAACCCTATTTCCTTTTTAGATTTAGATTCTCAGGGTGACCTGAACTTCACAATCCTCCTGCCTCAACTGCTTGAATGCTTGGGATCACAGGCCTATGCAAGAAAAATATTTAAAGGTGCCGTGTGGCTGGTGACATGGGTAGAGGTGCTTGCTGCCACACCTGCCACCCAGAGAGTCTATGTCAGAGGCCCTGAGGAGGCAACTCCTCCCCTGCCAGCCCAGGGAGGACAAGATGGGGCTAGATGCCCTCCCCCACCAGGTTCCACTGTGCTCTCTTGGCTCGGCATGAGCTGGTGGCTATGGGTCTGGACGCAGCTCTGTGGCCTCACTGGCCTCCTGTGTTAGAGGCACTAGGTTCATGCCGAGCACCACAAAATTTTTCCTTAGAAATTTAAGATTAAATATTAAAGGGCCATTGTGTCCCAGCCCCCAGTTCTAACCGTTCTGTATTCTTGCTGACAGCTGGGGACCCTCAAAGGTACATGGGGTGAGCCAGGCAGTCAGTGACCTCACTTCATCCTGGGTCCTTTCATACCTAGGGGCGTGAGGCTAGGACTATGTCACCTACACCCAGGTATTGGAGCCTCAAGCCTCGGGCCCCTAAGACAACGCTGATGGCTATGTCCTTCCTGGGGCACATGCAGCATGAGAAGTCCTCAGTTTCCACTCAGTGTCTTAAAGGTCAGCTCCCCTTTATTGAGGCAGGGTTCCATTGTACAGTCTTAGCTATCCTGGAACTCGCTACATAGCCTAGGCTAGCCTCCCATTCACAGAAGGTCCACTCCATGAAGCTGAGGGCCGCAGGAGGGTGCTTAGTCCACGCTATGGGACGCCACCCCTAAAGAATGGGGGACTGCAGCACCCTACAGGCCTGTGTCAGGTACAGGCCTGCCTGGCAGCCCGTTTCTCACATGGTGTTTGGCCAGAGGTCAGACCCAAGGTCAAAGCCAGGGGCCATGGGACCCCCCTGAAAACCTTTCAGGCTTATGTAGGTTTCTTTGGCTGCAGGTTATTTTTGTTTCTAATGATTTCTTACTGTGGCTGTGAAGGTGGCTCAACAGAGCACTGGCTGCTCTTGCAGAGGACCCAGGTTCGATTCCCAGCACCCACAGGCGGCTCATAATCACCTGTGATTCCAGATCCAGGGGACCCAAATCCTTATTCTGGCTTCCATGGGCACAGAAATGACACAGACTCACAGACACAGACACAAAATCCCCCATGAAGGACTGGGGGCTGTGTGATAGTCACTCTTGGGGGAGACACGTGCCTATGCCTGCTGCTGCTACCGTGGAAGGCAGTGGGAGTCCAAGTTTGAGTCCTGAGCCCAGAGAGCCCCAGCTGGGGTGGTTGTTTATTGGTTTATTTGCTCCGTCTCTTCCCCTCCTTTTGAATGGAGGTGCCTTGGGATGGGACGCTCACCTGCAGCTCAGAGGGGAAACCACGCCTGACTTGCGCAAAGCCAGGCCTCCCCACCGGCCCCCAGCATGCCCTGCACCTGGGAGATGGGTGACAGGCTCAGAGTTCAGCAGCGCTGCAGCGTGAGCTGCAAACAGGGCAACACCAGCGTCCAGACAAGTAGTGGGCAGTGCGCCCAGACAGGCGGGGGTCACAGCTCCAAGCGTGCTGCCTTGGCTACGATCACTAGCTTGGAGAGCTCAGACTTGAAGGCCCCAGGCCTGTGAGACACTGTAAGACATAAGCACATTTGGGCCCTTACAAGATGCCACATGAAATGCTGGAACTGGGGCAGTGCCAGCAGAGGGGGCACAGCAGATGCCAGCAGAGGGGGCCGTGGCAGGGCAGGGGGTGAAATGACAGTGGAAAACTGCAGAGCCAGGCACCGTGCCAGGCTTGTCAACGTAGCTACTCTGGAAATTACAGAGGGCTAGGGGTGTGGCCAAGGAGGACCCCCCCCCAGAAGTCTGCCAGTGTCTCCCTCAGAGTGCCTCTGATCCGCTGCCGCAGAAGGCAGACCAGTGCAGGTGAGTACCTAGGATGTCACCAGCTAAACTGACTGGCACAGCTGCAGCACAGAGTCCACACTGCAAGTGGCTTCTCTTTAGCACACCTCCCATTCTTGAGAGCACTTCTGATTCTCAGCGTCGTCATGAGGCCCTCGACCACCTCTCTGCAAATGCCCCTTGCCAGGTGCTGGCATGCTTTCCACCTGCTGGGTCCCATCTTCACCTACCTGCTGTCTTGGTCACTTCAAATTCCTCATTTTTAAGGGGGACATCACTCTCTCTCTCAAACGCAGCTTTAGACTGAAAGAGAACAGGACACTTCAGTAGATACAAATAGAGAGGGAAGCCCCTCGAGTCCCCTCGGTTTGTCTCCTGAGCTCTGTGGTCTAAAGCCAGGCATTCCCAGCAGGGATCCCAGGAGGGTCAGCTCACAGGTAACAGACAGCCTCCGTGTCACCTTGGCTCCCAGTAACACTCTTGAGGAGGCTGCTACATGGCTCTGGTACTCTGGTACTCAAGTCATTGGCTGACTTGAGGGACAGGAGAAGACCGAGGCTACCCTGCCCCACCCTGGCTCCTCCCATTATTCCATAGGGTGCCTCTGATGCCAACCTCCCCATTTTTCTGGCCTCCTGGGGCAAAGCAGGTCTATGTAGAGGGATGGGCCAAAAGCCCACATTGTAGGCCTTCTGCTGAGGTTCCCAACTCATGTGGGAGCCCTGGGGGTCAGTGGGATGGCTAAGTCCCTTGCAGTGATTGGTGTCCTCAGGTCCCCGAGACTGGCACTCACGTAGGCCATGGCATACTCGATCTCAGCACCCCGGACCTCAGCCTTGAACTGTGTGAAGTAGAGGTAGGACTTCCCCTGAGGCCTGTGGGGAGACAGTCAACGCTGGTAGGACCCAGTTGAGGCCCCAGAAAGAGCCTGGTGACGTGGGACTCCATGGTAGGAATCTCCAGGAAAGTGAAGTCAGAGATGGTAAGGAGCTCTGTGTGTGCCAGGGATGAAGGGGAAGGGAACAGCTCCTGGGGATAGGGGAGACGGGGTGTCTGGTAGCCCAAGCTGGCCAAGGCTAGCCTTGAGCTCCTGATCCCCTTGCCTCTGCCTTCCCAGGGCTGGAGATCATGAGAAACAGGAGCTGACTGTACGTCACAGAAGGCAGGGCTCTATCTCAATTTTTAAAATTTGCCAAAAAGCACTGTGGTGATTTCCTGCCCTGTGACCTAACTCCCAGCTCCCCGCCCTCCTCCCCTCCCCTTCCTAGTGCTATGGTGTTAATACACAGACTGGCAGCTTCCCCAGGATCACAGGGTCACTGTCCAGTCTGTTCCCCACTTGTCCTGAATTGAATGTGGTGTGCACATGCACAGTGTCTGCAGGACACCCCCTCCCCCGCCCACAGCCCTGTGCATACGCAGTGTCTGCAGGAACCTCCCAGTCCCGTGGATATGCAGTGTCTGCAGGCCACCCCCCAGCCCCATGCATATGCAGTGTCTGCAGGAACCCCCCAGCCCCGTGGATATGCAGTGTCTGCAGGCCACCCCCAGCCCCGTGCATATGCAGTGTCTGCAGGAACCCCCCAGCCCCGTGGATATGCAGTGTCTGCAGGCCACCCCTCCAGCCCTGTGCATACGCAGTGTCTGCAGGCCACCACCACTCCCGCCCCAGCCCCGTGCATACACAGTGTCTGCAGGACACCCCCCCACCCGCACATATGCAGTGGCTGCAGCTCACCTCCAGATGGTACAAGTGAAGTGCTGACTATCTTCGCTTGTCCCCAGGCTCATCTGCCATTGCTGGGGAGAGAGGATAGGCTTGTTGAGCAAGAACAGGTAGGCCTCTCTGCAACGCCTGCCACACGCTGTCCTACAGTGGATCAAGACACTGCCTGTGTCACTTTCTCCCCATAAAGGACGACATCCTGTGAATGGCTCCCAGCTTAGCAACAGTGAAATCCTGTCTAAAAATTAGATAAGGGTTGGGGCCTGTGGGTCAGTGTCTAGCATGAGGCCCTGGCTCCATCCCCAGAAACAGGGCACAGTAGAGCATGTCTGTCACTCCAGCACTCGAGACAATCAGGAGTTAGCCTTGGCTACATAGGAAGCTAGCCTGGGCTACATGAGACACCCTGTTTCAAAAAACCAAAAGCAATACAGGCACAGTGGTGCACTCAGGAGACAGACAGATAGCTCTTTGAGTTCAAGGCCAGTCTGGGCTACACTATGAAAACCTGACTCATACAACAACCCACAGCAGCCAGGGCTGAGATGGCTCTGCACCTAAGAGCGCAGGCCACTCTTCCAGAAGACACAGGTTTTGTTCCAGGACCACACGGAGGCTCAAAGCCACCTGTAACTTGTTATAGGGGACCTGATGCCTTTTTTTGGTCTCCACACACACTAGGATATGCAGCTGGTACACAGGCATTCATGCAAACAAAACACCATACACATAAAACAACCAAAACACAACAACAAAAACCCTAACCAACTAGTTCTCACAGCAAGTATCCCCAGCCCTGGCCGCAGGTCCTCATCCAGGTGCTCCCATTACTGCTCTCCATGGCTTCAAAGAAGAGGTTTTCCAATGCTAGGGCAGGCCGTGTTTACATCAATTACAAGGGGACCCTGTGGCTGCTTGGATACATTCTGCCTGGAAGGTAAGCCGCGAGCCCCAACTGCACTCACGCCAGGGTCAAAGTGCTGGTTTTGGGTCGGTCCACAGACACGCTAATCCCGAACTGGCAGGCTACTCCAGGGCGCCTGTGCCCGGAAAGCAGCCCATCTGAGAAATGCCTTGCTTTTCCATTAGAACAGGGTCTCCTGTAGCCCAGGCTATTCTTTTTTTTTTAAATATTTATTTATTTATTATGTATACAATATTCTGTCTGTGTGTATGCCTGCAGGCCAGAAGAGGGCACCAGACCCCATTACAGATGGTTGTGAGTCACCATGTGGTTGCTGGGAATTGAACTCAGGACCTTTGGAAGAGCAGGTAATGCTCTTAACCTCTGAGTCATCTCTCCAGCCCAGCCCAAGCTATTCTTGACGGTGACCTTGAATTCCTGATGCTCCTGCCTCAGCCTGCAGAGTGCTGTCACCCACCTGCTATTGGCCCCTCTTATATTCATTTAATCTCAAGCACAGCCAACTCCTAAACCCGCTGACAAAATAAAGTGGGAATTTTCCTTTCCCGGGACCATTCATGTTAAAACGCAATCAGTGAGGCCAGGCCCACAGTGCAGCCCTCACTACCATGCATCCAGACCTTCTACTCCATCAGCGAAAAGGGAAGCCTCGTGCTCAGCTTCCCCTGAATCCCTCCCGGTCCCAGCACATTCACTTCTTCACTGAGTGCAGTGTTTCTGAGGTTTTGTCTGGCTGTGGCAGGTATCGGGCCACACTCCACTCCGTGTAATGGAAATTGTCACTGTCATTTGTCCCTTGAGCTCCCTGAGAAGCTGT